GTGGTGTATTTATTTAACGTCATATCTCTCAGAGTTCAAATTAGTGAAAAACTAACTGCCGCCAGGGGACCTCCCAGAGGCAAAGGCGCGCCTAGGGGTCCTCCTTAAGGTCAGCAGTGCCACCAGAGGCTCTACCAGGGTCGGTGGCGCCGCCAGGGGACCTTCCACTGGCGGTGTCTCCAGGGGTCATTCTAGGGAATGTGGGGGAACTCCTAGAGGCCATGGCACAGCCAGGCGTTTTCCCAGGAGAGGTGGCGCCCCAAGGGGCCCTCCCAGGTGCCATCCCAGGGGAAGATGCTCCCCCAGGGGCCCCTCCCAATAGCAGCTCCTCCCTCAGTGACCGTGCCAGTGGCGGCAAAGCCTCCAGGGGCCCTCCCTGGGGCCTCAGCGACCCTAGGAGCTCTCTCAGAAGCGTTGGTGCCTCCAGAGGACTTTCCAGGGGCGGTGGCGCCCACAGGGGCCTTTCCAGGAAAATATGCTCCTCCAGGGGCCCTTCCAAGGGCACCTTCTCCCTCAGGGACCCTTCCAGTGGCGGCAAAGCCTCCAGCGGCCCTCCCTGGGGTCTCAGTGACCGTAGGAGCTCTCCCAGGGGCGTTGGTGCCTCCAGAGGCCTTTCCAGGGGCGGTGGCGCCCCTAGGGACACCCCCTGGGGCACTGGCACCGAAAGGGGACCAGACAGTGGCGATGGCGCCCCCAAAGGCTGTCCCAGGGCGACAGCGTTCCCAGGGGATCGATCGTGATGTCGTACAAATTGCATACGTCCAGCAATCCCTTACTTAACTGTGATTGGTGAATTAAAGGAAAAATGAACCAAATTACAGCCAATAGGAGAGCAGACCAGCCAGTCAGCACAACACCCCAACTTATGTTTTCCTGTTGGATATTTATTCACCATATCATTCTTCAGGATGCATCAGACTGGAAATGTTATGGGTGGTGTATTTATTTAACGTCATATCTCCCAGAGTTCAATTTAGTGAAAAACTAACTGCCGCCAGTGGACCTCCCAGAGGCAACGGCGCTCGTAGCGATCCTCCAAAACGTCAGCATTGCCACCTAAGGCTCTAGCAGGGGCGGTGACGCAGACAGGGGACATTCCAGTGGCTGTGGCCCCAGGTGTCATCCTAGGGACAGCGGGGATCTCCAAGAGGCGTGGCACATCCAGGTGTTCTCCCAGCAGCGGTGGTGCCCCACGGGCCCTCCCAGGGGGACCTGCGCCCCCAGAGGCCCTCCCAAGCTCAGATGCTCCGTCATGGACTCTTCCAGTGGCGGAAAAGCCCCCAGGGACCCTCCCTGGGGCCTTAGCACTCTTAGGGGCTCTCCCAAGGGTGTTAGTGCCTCCTGGGCATTTTCAGGGGCGGTGGCGCCCCAAGGGACCCTCCCTGGGGCGGTGGCACCCCATGGGGCCCTGCAAGAGACAAGGGCACCCCCAGGGGCCGTCACAAAGCGACAGCGCTCCCAGGGGCTTAATCGTGATGTCGCTCATATTGCATTCGTCCAGCAATCCCTTACTTAACTGTGATTGGTGGATTAGAAGAAAATGCACCAAATTCTAGCCAATAGGAGAACAGACCAGCCAGTCAGCACAACACCCCAACTTATGTTTTCCTGTTGGATATGTATTCACCTTTTCATTGCTCAGGATGCGATTACACTGGAAATGCGATGGGTGGTGTATTTATTTAACTTCATATCTCTCAGAGTTCTAAATAGTGAAAACTAACTGCCGCCAGGGGACCTTCCAGAGGCAAAGGCGCACCTAGGGGTCCTCCTTAAGGTCAGCAGTGCCACCAGAGGCTCTACCAGGGACGGTGTCGCCGCCAAGGGACCTTCCAGTGGCGGTGTTTCCAGGGGTCATTCTAGGGAATGTGGGGGAACTCCTAGAGGCCATGGCACAGCCAGGCGTTCTCCCAGGCGAGGTGGCGCGCCAAGGGGCCCTCCCAGGTGCCATTCCAGGGGAAGATGCTCCCCCAGGGGCCCCTCCCAATAGCAGCTCCTCCCTCAGGGACCGTGCCAGTGGCGGCAAAGCCTCCAGGGGCCCTCCCTGGGGCCTCAGCGACCCTAGGAGCACTCTCAGGAGCATTGGTGCCTCCAGAGGACTTTCCAGGGGCGGTGGCGCCCACAGAGACCCTTCCAGGAAAATCTGCTCCTTCAGGGGCCTTTCCAAGGGCACCTCCTCCCTCAGGGACCCTTCCAGTGGCGGCAAAGCCTCCAGGGGCCCTCCCTGGGGTCTCAGCGACCGTAGGAGCTATCCCAGGGGCGTTGGTGCCTTCAGAGGCTGTTCCAGGGGCGTTGCCGCCCCTAGGGAGCCCCCCCTGGGGTGGTGGCACCCAAAGGGGCCCAGGCAGTGGCGATGGCGCCCCCAGCGGCTGTCCCAGGGCGACAGCGTTCCCAGGGGCTCGATCGTGATGTCGTACAAATTGCATACGTCCAGCAATCCCTTACTTAACTGTGATTGGCGAATTAAAGGAAAAATGAACCAAATTACAGCCAATAGAAGAACAGACCAGCCAGTCAGCACAACACCCCAACTTATGTTTTCCTGTTGGATATTGTTGGCGGCAGTTGGTTTTTTACTAATTTGAACTCTGAGAGATAAGACGTTAAATAAATACACCACCCATATCATTTCCAGTCTGATGCATCGTGAACAATGAAATGGTGAATAAATATCCAACAGGAAAGCATAAGTTGGGGTGTTGTGCTGACTGGCTGGTCTGTTCTCCTATTGGCTGTAATTTGGTGCATTTTTCTTTTAATCCACCAATCACAGTTAAGTAAGGGATTGCTCAGGAGTGCATATACTGAGATTTTCAGCAAAATCAAATTTTTGACCAAAAACATAAGTCTTACACCTTAGTAATTTTTTGACCAAATTAGACTTTTCTCTCGGAATTGGAATTTGAGAGGTTTAACCAATTAATTATTTCCAGAACACACAAACACCAAAATCTCACCTGGGTATCCATAGTTGGCCAGTAATTAGCATTGAAAAGTCCTAAGCAATGATACTGGAAATGTGATGGGCGGTGTATTTATTTAACTTTGCCTCTCTCAGATTTCTAAATAGCGCAAAAACTACTGCACCGTGGGGCCCTATACGTCTGGCGCTCTCAAGGGTCCTCTCAGGGACGGTCGCCCCCTTAGGGGTCTGTCAATTGGCGTTGGCTCCCCCAGGGAGCCTCCCAGTAGGGTTAGCATCCCTAGGGTCGATGGCACCCTCAGGGGCCCTGCCAGAGGCGGAGGCACCTCAAGAGCGTCGGAGCCCTCCCATATGCAGAAACGCTAGGGGGCCCTCTCAAGGGCGGCGTCGACCCCAGGGCTCATCCTTAGTGATAGCGGCGGCTCCAGACGCCTTTCCAGAGACTGTGGCGCCCCAGGTACCCTTCCTGTTGCGATTGCGCCGCGAGGGGCCCTGCTAGTGGCGGTGTTGTCGGCAGGGGTTTTCTCAGGGACTTCGGTGCTAACAGAGAACCTCCCAAGGGCGACAGCGCCCCCAGGGGCCCTCCCAGATGGAGACGCGCCACTAGGGAACCTTACAGGGGCTGCGGCGCTCTTATAGGGCACTCCCAGGGGCGGCGGCGTCTGTAGTGCCGCTTCCAGGGGCAGCGGCGCCCTTGGGGGCCTTCCCAGGTTCGGAGATGCCCCCAGGGACCATCCCTGGGGCGGTGGCACCCCCAGGGGACCTGCTAGGGGCGATGGCGCCTCCAGGGGCCCTCACAGGGTTGTGGCTCCCCCAGGGGCCCTGTCAGGTGCAGCGGCTCCCCAGGGTCCCTCCCAGGTGCGGCAACCCCCCCCCCACCCATGGGCTTGATTATAGTGTCGTACATATTGCATACGTCCAGCAATCCCTTACTTAACTGTGATTGGTGGACTAAAATATAAATGCACCAAATTACAGCCAATAGGAGAACAGAGCAATCAGTCAGCACAACACCCCAACTTAGGTTTTCCTGGTGAATATTTATTCATTTTTTCATTGTTCAGGATGCAATGATACTGGAAATGCCATGGGCGGTGTATAGATTTAACTTTATACATCTTCTAAACAGTGCAAAAACTGCCCCCAGAAGAGCTCCCAGGGACGCTGGCGTCCCCAGAGGCTCTCCTTAGGGGTAATGGAACCTACCCCCCCTCCCAAGGACACTCCCAGGACCTTCCAGGGGCCGAAACGCTTTTTTGCTTTCCCAGTGGCGGTTGTTCTGCCAGGGGTTCTCCAAGGGGCGGCTGCGCCTCCAGGGGCCGTCCGAGGAGTGGCGGCGCCCCCAGGGGCAAACCCAAGGACGTCGGCGCTTTCAGGGGCCCTCAAAGCGGCGGCGGCATCCCTAGGGGGACCTCACAGATGCGGAGTCGCCCCTAGGTGCCCTCAGAGGGACGGCGGCATCCCTAGGTGGCCCTCCCAATGGCGGCAGCGCCTGCAGGGCTCCTCCTTAAGATTGACGGTGATCTCAGGGTCTTTCCAGGAGAGCTGGCGGCCCCAAGGGCCATTCCAAGGCGGTGGCAGCTCCTGAGGCCCTCCCAAAATCGGCGGCGACCCCAGGGATGGAGCCACACCAGAGGCCCTTCCAGGGATGGTGGAGCCCCAGGAGATCTGGCAGGGGCTGTGACGCTCCCAGGGGCCCTTCCAGTGGCGGTAGTGCCCCGAGAGGCCCTACCAGGGGCGTCGTCACCACCAGGGGTTTTTCCAGGGATGGCAAACCTAGCAGGTGCCCTCCCAAAGGCGGAGCCACCCCCAGGGGCCCTCACGGATGCAGAGGCGGCACTAAAGACCCTCCCAGGGGCGGTGACGCTCTCAAGGGCCTTCTCAGGGGCTGTGGCGGTCCTAGGGCCCTTCCAATAGTGGTGGCGCCCCCAAAGGACATTCCAGGGGCGGCGGGACCACAAAAACCCTCAAAGGGGTAGTGGTGCCACCAGGTGCCCTCAGAGGGTCGTTGTGTCTCTTGGGGGCCTTCCCAAGGGCGGCGGCGCCCGCAGCGGTCTTCCTTAGGGGTAACTGTGACCTCAGGGTCCTGCCAGGGGCGGTGGTGCCCCCATGGGCCCTCCCAGGGGCGCCGAGTGCCCTCCAAGAGGCAGTGGGGTCTCTAGGGGCCCTCCCAGAAGCAGTGGTGCTCCTCAGGAGCCCTGCCACGGACGGGGGCGCTCGCAGGAACCTTTCCAGGGGCGGGCAGGGCGACAAAAACCGTCCCCGGGGCGGTAGCACCCCCAGGATCCCTCCCAGGGGCGGCAGCGTCACCAAAGGCCTTCCCAGGGGTGGATGCTCCCCAAGGGGACCTCCCAAGGGCGGCGGCTGTTTTCCAGGGGCCATCCCACGAGTGGAATCGCCCCCTGAGGCCTTCTCAGGGACACCAGCACCCCCAGGGATCCTCACAGGTGTGGTGGATTCCCCAGAGGCCCTTCTAGGGACAGCAGTGCCCCCCAGGGCCCTCTCGGGGGCTGCAGCGCCCACAGGGATCTTCTAGGCGCCCTGCCAGGTGCTGTGGAACCTCCAGGAGCCCTTCCTGGGGCAGTGGAGCCGCCAGGGGTTCTCCCAAAGTGGCAGAGCTCCGAGGGGAGGCCTCGCACCTAAGGGCCCTCCCTAGAAGTGGCGGTACCTACTGGGGCCATCTCAGGGACAGCGGCACCCCCAGGTGACGTCCTATGGGCAGTGGCTTCCTCAAGGCCCCTTTCAGAGGCCGTGGCGCCCCCAGTGGCCCTCCCAGGGATTCTTCCAGGAGCGGCGGCAGTTCTAGGGACCCTCCCAAGGGCCACGGCGCCCTTCTGGGCCTTTCAATGGGTGGCAGAGCACCCAGGGGTCCTCTCAGGGACAGCGGAGGCCCTCCAAGAGACGGTGGCAACCTTAGGGGCCCTCCCAGAGGCAGCGACGCCTCCAATAGCCCTCCCAGGAGCGGTGCCGCCCCAAGGGACCCTCCCAGGGACAACGGCGCTCTTAGGGGCCCTCCCAGGGCTGGCGACGCCCCCAAAAGCCCTCCCAAGGGCAGTGGCGATCCCAGAGGCCCTGCCAGCAGTGTACAGTACAGTACACAGCGTATTATAAAAGAGCAGTGTACTGCATTGTGTACAGTACAGTACTGGTAGGGTCCCTAGGTTCGGAGTTGCCCCTGGGGGCGCCATCGCCCCTGGACGGCCTCCTGGGGTCGTCACTGCCCCTGGGAGCACCGTCAACCCTGGGGGCCCCAGCTTCTTGGGAGGGCCCCTCATCTGGGTACCGTCGTCCCTGTGAGGACCCGTAGTGGTGCCTCCGCACCTGGGAGGGCACCTGGGGGCGTCGCAACCCTCAGGAAGGCCCCTGGAAGCACCGCCGCTTTTGTGAGGGCCCCTGACAAGGCTCGCGCCGTGCCTGGAAAGGTCTCCGCCGCCCCTGTCAGGGCCCCTGGGGATGGCGCCACCCCTAAGGAGGGCCCCTGGGGGCACGGCTGCTCTTGGCAGGGCCGCTGGGCGCGCCACCGCCCCTAAGAGGACCCCTGGGGTGCCGCTGCTCCTGGGAGGGTCCATGGGGATGCCACCACCCCAGGGAGGGCCCCTGGGAGCACTATCACCCCTGTGGGTACCACCGCCTCTTGGATGGCTTCTGCTGCCCCTGGGAGTTGTAATATAGTACCGTAGTAGTCATAACATAGTAGTAGTTGTAGTTTGGTGGTAGTCATAGTATAACAATATTAGTCATAGTATAGTAGTAGTCACAGTATATTGTAGTAGTTGTCATAGTATACCTGTAGTAGTAGTCATAGTATAGCAATGCTAGTCATAGTATAGTAGTAGTCACAGTATATTGTAGTAGTAGTCATAGTATACCTGTAGTAGTAGTCATAGTATAGTAGTAGTTGTAGTATAGTATTCAACATAGTATAGTAGTAGTCATAGTACAGTAGTAGTCAAAGTATAGCAGTACTAATCATACCACTGTCTGAGATTGCTAACACAGAGCCTCATGCGGCTTTTGCGGCATTCACCCATGGAGTCAAACATCACTGGAACTACCTGATGCACACTGTCCCTGATATTGGTCCCCTCCTCCACCCTCTGGAAGAAGCTATCAGCGTCAATATCATTCCCAAATTAGTGAAACACCCTCACTTAACCCCAGCAGAAAGATCACTCCTTGTGCTACCACCGAGACTGGGAGGAATGGGATTGACCAATCCAGAGGAGATTGCTGCCACTGAACATCAAAACTCAGTTAAGCTCACGGCAGCCCTCACAGACCACATAATAGCTCAGAACGCAACAGGGGAGGTGGATACCAGCGAAGTAAACAAGATTCGAAGGCCCATTACGACAGAACGACAGCACAGCCAAAGTGATAAGTTGCAGCAGCTGTTGCAAGTACCAGAGAATTTGACAAAAAAAGTAGCTGTAGAACAGGAGGTGGGCGCCTCGAACTGGTTAACTACTCGTACGTTACCGATAAGGGCAAATGGTTTCAGTCTCAATAAACAAGAATTTACAGATGCCATTGCTCTAAGGTACGGTCGGCCAGTAGAAGGTTTGCCCTCCCAATGCGTGTGTGGCTCTTCCTATGACGTCGATCACGCCATGGCGTGCAAGAAAGGGGGCTTCATATGCACGAGGCATGACGAAGTAAGGGATCTCACAGCAAATACGTTGAAGGAAATCTGCTGTGATGTCATGGTAAAACCGACCCTTCTTCCATTGGATGGTGAGATCTTCCAACATAGGACTTCAAACACATCCAACGAAGCCCGTGTTGACATCAGTGCTTGAGGATTCTGGACGCGGGGACAGCAGGCCTTCTTCGACATCAGGATTTTTTATCCCATGGCCGCATGTCACCGTAGCTTAGCTCTCGATGCTGCACACAGGAGGAACGAGAATGACAAGCTAAGGGCATACGGGGAGAGAATTCAGAACGTTGATCAAGGCAGCTTCACTCCTCTAGTGTTCACAACCTCTGGTGGGATGGGCCCAAGTGCAAGATGTTTCTACGCCAGACTCGCGGAGGTGATCTCCGAACAGAAGCAGCAGCCCAGAAGTTATGTTGCAGCCTGGATGAGATGTCGGCTGTTCCTCTCTCTCCTTCAGTCGGCTTTGCTCTGCCTCAGGGGAACGAGAGCTTCGGCCCCAAAGCCGACAACAGCTGCAGATATTGACTATGAGGCTACAGTCACTGAATGTTGCATAGACCTGCGGCTCAACTAACTCAACACAGATAGGATAGCTACTTATGTATTAGGATATTTAATATTAAGGTAATAAAATGGCGGTGAAGGTGTGGCTATTGGGGGAGGCTGGAGGCCACGTAAGAAAAAAAAAACTAATCATAGTATGGTAGTAGTCATAGTATAGTAGTATTCATAGTATAGTAGTAGTCATAGTATAGTAGTAGTAGTATAGCAGTAGTCATATTATAGGAGTAATATACTAGTAGTAGTGCTGTGGGAAAAGGTTTGCAAGCTCGCCACCATCTCCTTACCGTGAATTGTTGAAACCGTGAATCAAAAACTAGCGAATGGCAAGGGTCATCAACGGAGCCAGTCTTTCTAAACGCCTTCATCCATCTTGTAACCAAATTTCTGTGCAGTGCTTCCATCTTGTCATGAATCATAATATTCTTCTTCTACCTCCCATTACAGACTTTAAGTTAGCTAACCAGAAGAAACAATTCACCTTCTCTGCTACTGTACTCACACCAGATGTTGTCGTCTACCCTAGCCATACACTGGCCACTCTGCTCAATGTACAGTACAGAATACATAACTGTAGTCACTTTTTATGTCTTAAGACTTACAATTTCAGGTCACCCATTGTAAGTAAGTTCTTCTCTCATTTGCAGTGGAGGCGGGGTGGGGAATTAGTGGGTCTCCTAACCTAAAGATGTCTTAAATAAAGGTGAAAACTAAAGCGCTCCAGTGTTTCCCTTTTCTGTACATATAGTACTTCCACACTTACTGAATATACAGTATGGTATACAGTACATAACTATAATCCCTTTTAATGTCCTAACACTGCTTTAAAACTACGTAGTCTTGGCTGATTGTGTCCTGGTACAGTACAGTACTCGGTACACTGTACTGTAATGCAAAACACAAATTGTATGTAAAAACAACAGCTAGTGAGGGAACAACTTTTTGAAATGACAGCAGAATATGAACTAAATGATCCAAGCAGCTAGGCCTCCCATGTGCCTGGCATGTGGGAACACATTGGAGCATGATGCAATCTCTTGGAACTCCCAGAAAATTCTGTTCTGAGGCCTAGAACAGAGAGGTTTGTTAAGAATTTTCTTGGAATTTTCTCAGAATTTTTCCAGTAAATGACCAGGATTTTCAGCCCTGGAGACTAGGGATTCTGGCCAACAGAGAGTTAGAGAGTTTACTAAAGGATTTCTATACATGATCAGTAAATTAAAATAAAAGTTACTTTCAAATGTGTTTAATTTCAGAATATAAAATATGTAGGTCAAGAAGGGGATGAAAATATATAATGAATGAGGAGATTACAATATTGGTGATTATTTACAACCTATACAAAAATACAAATTACTTTACATAGGCAGCAGGTTGTACACAATAGGTTCTAGGAGATAATTACACTTCAGAATATATTCATACAGTATATATCAACTGACTTATCTACAACAATGCTTACCCAAAAATGCATAATTAAGTTTGTCTGAAAGCTGTAATCTAAATTTTATGATATGAACCACAAGTTCTGCCAAGGCTTATACAGTATATAGTTGTATTACTCTATCTTAAGTCTATTTTTCTAGGTAAGTTAGCTACAGTCAAGGAAAAAGTCCCATTCATTAACCCCAAGACTCATGAACCTTTGAACCCGAGACATCACACAGTGCACCATCTATGGGTCCAACACTATGTGATGTCTCGGATTCACAGATTCATGGATGAGATGGAGGACTGACAGGACTTTTTGCCGTGACTGTACAAAATATACTTGGCAAGACGCAGAAGAAATCATAATACAGGTGTGCTCCTCTGTTAAGAACGTTCAACTTACAAACTTTCAGAGATACAAACATCATCACTGACGGGGGTTACCTGCCAGAACAGGTGTTTAATGTGTATGAGATTGGATTAATTTGAAGAAAATTACAGATAGAACAAATATTACCTAAGAGGAGAAGAGTGAGCCAGGTTTTAAGGCTGTATTAAAGGGTATGGCTGTACTAAATATCCATAATCTTTTCATTTTTTACAATATGTTTGGTATCTACAAGAGTAAAGCTGGACTTACAAACAAGCCTCGGGAACGTAACTCGTTCGTAAGTAGAGGAGCACCTGTAAAAGGTTAACTTTCCATACCATTAGCTTGTTCAATGAGGAACAATTACATACAGGATCATATTTTTATTCAACTCTAAATAATTATTATCTTTTTGGACATTCAACAAATTTATGTTTTTCACAATGATCGGACTTTATTCCCACATGATTTTTAGGTTCCTGTTTGATAAAAGAACAACCCTATAGTAGAAATATTAATAACTACTTGTGTGGTGAAGAAACTATGGTTATGAAAATAATATATGTAAAAACAAAAAGGACGATGAGAATAATATGTGTCACCTTCAAAGCCAGATAAAATGATGTTAAGCACAGTGTTGCTTAACAAGGGTGACTCACAGCTGGCCTTGACCTACACCTGACCAGTGAGACAGGCACTGCTCACCACACACAAAGTTTTTAAGGTGACTGAGTAAATCATTCAGGATTAGTATTCATAGGGCTAGCTGATGCAACAAAATAGAGCAGGTCTTTCACTGTACCACTGTTAGAGTATAATATAACAGTACTTAAAATGATGGGAGAACAACTCATTAATCCTTCAGTATTACAAACAATTTTGAAAATACTACAATGAACTGCACATTGTATTGTATAAATTCAATAGGCTGAAAAATGGATATAGAGGAACAAGAACAAACACAGAAGTGGTTATACAGACAGCAGCTGTGTACCTAACTCAATATTTTCTACATGTTCGTACAGTACACAGCTGCCAGACATACAGTGTAGGGAAGGACTTTCGGTTTTTTTCTATTTTTAGGTATATTGGTTCAGGAAGCTTTTGGTTTAATTGGAGTAAATTAAGTCACTTCAAATGATAATCCAACCAGTGCTTCCCTCAACACTGCACATGGGCTGCCATACAACCATCCCACCAGAGGATCAGAAACCATTAGGTAAATCTCTGGGAGCTCGGATAGTTTGTATTTTTCTTCTTTTAATGAGACATATTATGAAAGGACCCAAAAAACTCTGACCTATCAATCCTAACAATGAAAAAATCCTAACTTTGGTCATGCTTGGCAACTGCACATATAGAAAAGGTCCATTTAATAACACTGTACAGTACATAGCTACAGTACTGTACTACCTACACACACAGCAGGAAGTGAGGAAGATGGAACAATATAATTCAAGACAATGATAAACTATAACATGGTTGTTGAGGTAGAGTTGACACAAAAAGCAAATGAGTAACACAGTGTACCAGAGTAGAGCACACAGAGTACAACCCAACATGAAGGAGGTAGGTCAAGGCATGGGAGTATGTCTGGGTTATGTATGTGTGTGAAGTAAGTCTCAATAAACAAACATCTGTGGGCGGGTGCTGTAACAGTATGGGGAGACAGAGAATTTATCGATGCAGGGTGGACATATGACACCAATGAGTCAAGAGTTTGATCATGGACGACTGGAGTATCAAAATTTAATGTCAATAACCACATCTATAAAGCTGGTATAGTGAGTCTGGATGACAAGTGGAATAAGTACAGTATTCAAGTCGGGGGAAATTACAGTATAGGTTATCCCACGAGAGACGAATGGGTTAGGTTCCAATAAAATCATTCGTTAAGTAAATTTTCGTATCGTGATTAGAAAATCAAATGAAAAAATAGGGTAAGTTCTCCAGTGACAAAATTACCCAAATATTATACTCCAATACCACAAAATAGGTTCACAAACAAGAACAAAACCTACCTAACTAATGCTAAATAGAACACACCTACTGTATTCTAATTTACTATCTAACACATAAAAAAATATAAAATACCGTTCAACTTTGTTACATTACCTTACGGGAGGGCAGTCTGGGCTCACCACAAGGGGGTGAGGAGGGTTTTCACTGCTGTTTGCCAAGGACACAACAGTCACACCAAAGGTAGAATGAGTGGAAGAACACTTGGATGCCTTCATGTAAGGTACAACAAAATGATGGCACAAATACATACAGATAAAGAGAGATCACTTCACACACACAACAAATGATGGAAGGAAAGAGGCGGGCTTGTTGGAGATGATGGAGGGAGAAGGTATGACCAGTGAGAACCAGCTGACTCCCGGGACATGAAATTTGAATTTTTGGCTGGAATCAAATTCATATAAGCAGGGGAAGCTTTTATTTCTCGAAATAGTGGTGTAAATTTTGGAAATTCTTAAAAGCGAATATTCGCATCTCGAACATTCGTATCGCGAGGGATACCTGCATATTGATATGTAAAATGCGAGTTGTGGATTTGCCTATTTGTAATACTGTATACAATTTGGCAAACCTTTTGACTGCCCTTTATATATGCAGTAAAATCATACACTTAATATGACACTAAATCTGAATTTTTTACCCTTCTGCTGAATGAGAACTGTTTCTTGTGTACACCACAAACTTCAAAAAATTAAATTAATGAGGTTCAGAATACTGTACCTGTAACACATAAAGTATACATATGACTCCTACTTCCTACACCAGGGATTAAAATTCAACAGACAGCATTATCACTAAATGGTTCTCTTATGAGTGGTACCCCTGATCAACTACCACCCTATACCACATTGTCTCTCCTCTAATGAAAATATTTAATAGCCACTATGTTCTCAGATATGGGCTTGTTGGATACATGTACTAAGAAATCTCATGTCACGGCAGCCCCAAGGTGTGGCCAGTCTCTCTTGTGAATAAGAGGAATGAAGATTTCCTTGAAAACTTGACAAGAACACTCAGTTGTCCATCAACAGCCCAGACATAATAATAAGAATCTTCGGATCATCATGATCAGGGGACTGAATAAGTTTGGCAATATACTGTACGGTGCATTCAAGTTTAAGCAAAAACATACATGTGGCATTTAGTTCAAAACATGGCAAAGTTATGGCAACAACATTTCAATATCAACAAGGTAGTAGCACAGAGGAAAAATTAATACTATTCTCAGATTTATATTACTCTAAAGTCCTCAAAAATGGGAAAACTCTTTGTAATCAACATCTTGCATTTAGAAATAGGAAAAGTACAAAATTTACTTTGTGATATACATTTCTAAAGACAAAATTCTGTTGTACACATTGTTTCATGTTAAGTTTGGCACCAAGTCCCTAGGCTGAAATTACCGGTGCCTGGTCTATTTACATAAATGAGGAATGGGAAAACAATTATCCAGCTGCTCCTCTACTACGAACAAGTTACGTTCCTGAGGCTTGTTGGTAAGTCCGCTTGTTGTAAAAATATAAATAAAATGTAAGGAATATTATCACAGGTGTAAAGTAATGCCTACACGGTAAGCCAAAAGGCTGAAGCAAACCATACCAATTACCTTTCTTATGTTATTTAACAAATGTGCTACTTCAAGCAACATTGTACACTACAGTATCAAGATGAAAAAAGCAGCTAAAATCATTAAGGAAAAACAAAATGAAAGTTTAACACAACTACCATTTGCATAGATGCTGGGTGCATGGACTCAAAGCTTGCCATAACAATGTAGCCCAGTTGGGAAGCTGCCTCTGCTGACCCTCTTAACAACAGAGCTCCAACACCCCACTTCCCTCTCCCACGCTCAGCCTGCTAGCTAACTCTCCCACACAGAAATGTTTATTCTCTCTGTTTTTGACCTTATGATAGTTATTTCTTTTATTTTTTTTTGCACGTTATCTATGAAGGATTGTGAGTGCAGCTGCTGTGTGAACAAAAATAACTGAAGGAAGTCAAGTACACTACAGTATATCTAACCAAAATCACGAGTTGAAAAATAACTAAAATACAGCCAGATAGCGATAGGGGCTAGGAAGATGTGGCTACATTGATGAGTCTAATTTAGCAACAATGCCACCAGCAATGTTAACATGTTTACTGATGCAAAATAAAGAAAATTATGTGTAAATCTTCATTTTCATCTGGTATTTGTAGATTTAAAGTGGCATATACTGTATAGTGAATAAGGTTCAGTTGTTTTTCATGGAACAACATAAAGAAAGAATCTTGGGGTATGGTAGACAAGCCAAGGCTAAAGGAGCTAACTGGTAAAGATAACCAACCATGAGCATATACTGGGTAGTTATCGTTCACTGTAAACGATTCACGGAGAGCACATATACCTAGACGGTTTGTTCATATCTCTGACAGTTCATAAGTAGAGGTGCAGCTGTACTGTATATTGTTGACACCAGCTTAAGTTTTTAGATAATTATAGAAGTAAAAACTAATTCTGAAACCAGTTTAGGTTTCAACACGCTGATGGTGGAGAATGAGAAAAATAGATAAATTCTGTAATTAAATGAATTCTCTTTAAAATAATTTATAGCCCAGCCAAACAATGGTATGGAACAGCGTTAGAATGACTGACTGAACGTACACTAACCTGTATTTAAGTATTCGTGACACATGTTTAATTCAAAAGCACGCACTAACATACATCAACCTACTTAATTTTACTTTTTCAAGCACACACACACGCACACACACACACAAACATAGTCATGGTACTCAACTAACATGACTGATTCCACATACAATGGATGGGTATTTCTCAGGCGTACTTAAGTTTGTCTGATATTGCTTTTATATATATGTATGTATGTATGTATGATGTATGTGTGTATATATGCAAGATAATCAGTATATAGTCTGCACCTTACAATCAACTGGAATTGACTACAGAATAATTGCATGTTACTCAAAATTTCTGTGACTGGTAGATACTAAGCATGGCCCAGGAGCCTGATGGCTGATTATGGTAGAGGCAGACTGGGTACACAGCTAGACTGACTGGGGCCACCATACTCTGTAGCCAGTTGGGTTAGCCACTGTACCCCTACTAGTGGCCACAGTGAGGTAAGTGGATAGGAAAATGGTATCATATGGTATAGTAAATACGGTCAGTGAGGTAAAGTATTAATGATTTAAAGCAGAATAATGATGATGAATGATGCAAAATCAAACGTATTTACATGGACTAATATTCTTTGTACTAAGAACCTCACATACAGTACTGAAAAACCAATACTCAACTGGACATTCTTACTAAAGAAACAAGTCATGGTACAATACAGTATTAGCAAAATCTCCTATTTTTACAACATTTGAATACTAAGTAAGCTATTATGCAACCTGCTAGGAAGTGGACTTGTTACTTGGAAACAACAATCATTAAGTTAACATCACAGGCAGATCCTAATAAACTGGCCACAATGTCTCGTTGTTACGGACGATTGTTACCGATCATTAACAGCGAAACTTGAGAATCAGCAGGATGGAAATTGTTGCCCCGCCCTCACCACAGTCGGGCATCGTCGCAATATTATGAAAGTACATAGTAAAAAATATATCAATGTGTTTATAAACGTTTAGTACAGTACCTATTACTACCTATTGACTTCGAATGATCATTTATATTTAAATAAAATAAAAATTTTATGTAATATATATTCCTATAAAAAATAAAAACATCAAATAAATTAACACGACTAAAATATAATTCACTCACTCACTCACTACTGCTGCTGGAGAGTGCAAAAAATGATACACTACTTCCATCAATGAGAAACTACAACATTATTTGTAGGAGAAGGCCTACAATGGATGACAACCAAACATACAAATAATAAATTAACCAAAGTGACTTATAATTCTTGTTTTCAACTTGATGGGGAATGAATGAAGTAATGAATATATGAATGAAGAAAATTTAGACAGACTACAACAAGCTATGCTATTTATTCTTAGCCATAAGTGAAGGTAAGAACTCCTAAACCATACATGATATAAACCTCTCATGAAACTCTTATACAAAAGAAAATTATGTACAAAAGTGGCAAAAAAAAAGAAAAAAAAGGACAAGCATGTAAAGACGTAACCTTAAAATATATATATATACAGGTACAGTGGGGGTCTCACTTTACTTGGGCCTCGCGTGCACGGTCATCGCTTACACAGTTGGTTGATATGTGACCTTAGTTTTAGCTTACACTAAACATCAGGAGTAGCGATACAGATATAACGTTAATTTTGCGATTTTTTTGCATATTTAACCCCATATTTAGCGATTTTAGTAATATTAGTTATTGGATATTACATGTGTGTACCGTAAGTAATACAGTACTGTATATTGTAGTACAGTTCATTAAAAAATATTATTTATTTACTTATAAAATATATTACCATATTTATCAAAATATATATTGAACTGTATTATCTTTAAAGGGGACACTGTATAGGCCTAACGAGAGCTGATAGGTATGAGATGACACTTCATGTGTAAACGCGCTGAAGGTGGGGGGAGGGGACTGGTCGCTGTCATGTACCAGTTTGTTTTTATTATGATCAGCCTATTATGGTTTACGTTTCATCATAAATAATATATCATACAGTATTAAATACGAGAAGAAAATAATGACATATAATGTGTAATTTGACTTCAAAATAATAGGACAAGCTGAATCAGAAGGTAATCTCTTCCTTGACCACTGATTCCATCCCACCGGAAAGGGGGTGTAAGTATTGGTCGTTGCCATGTTCGCCCTTTTTTGTAAATTATTCATTACAGTACTAATACATTATAAAAATAAGTGTGCCAATCATTATAGTTGTACTATATGATGGAAGTTATCGCAGCGACGGGGAATCCACTTCACTAGATGACATGTTACAGGAGAGGGAAGAGGAGGATGTGAGTTTGAGGCAGGGGAAAGAAGTGTTGGTGGTGTGGCAGAACCAGAGCAGACTGAGGGAGGCATGACTCAGTGGCAGGTGACACAAGTTCTCAGCAAGGTTGAAGAAGTCAAGGATGATTTAATAAGTGCTGAGTCCAGCCAGTAATGAAGTGTAATGCAGTGATGAACTTAGTGCACAGTTAGACAGTTTGGTTGGAACCCTACAGGTAACGTTACCGGGAGTTTATTAAATGCTGCCGCCAAGCTCTCATCACTGCCTATTTTCCGCTCCAACAATGTGAAGATCAAGGAGAATCCAGTGATAATGACCCCACCACTCTGGAGATAGGTGATGAAGATGAAGATGCTTTACAAGTGTCTGCAGTTGATATGGAAAGCTTTGAATTCGACATTATGTGTCATTTTGGGAAATTAAGTTGGTTACCCAAAGTCGTTCAAGAGTAAACATCTGGCAAGTCCAGTACAATATAGCAATTTTAACACGTGTTAAAGGGCATCGCTTACGTGGATTTCTGATGCGCAGATATGTACCAGTATTATATACTCGTGCAAAATGAGACCCCCCTATATATACTGGTATTTATGTATATACAGCTATACATAAAAAAGATGAAAAGACATTACAAGCCGGGCACGCTGCTCCTGTCAGGTGCCAACACCGACAACAGAGAATTGGCTAAAAGTGAGATATGTTAAGATTCACTCGGGTCTTCTGTAAATATATATACTATATGATTAACCAGATGACAATTTATAAAAGAAGTGTAAGGCTTTTCATACACTTAACAACAGAACCACAGCAACACTCAACTGAAAAACACATTTATTTTCCAAAAAATATAATAGCCAGGATGCAATGTCTTGAGATTACTTGCTTCTGAAGTGGTTTATAATGTTTTTAATCACATGTAAATCTGGTGAGTGCTATTGTTAAGTATGACAAAGCTTTAAATTAATCCTAAACCTAACGTGAGGTGACGAGGAACGGTTTTTCAGACATATGCGATACGTCTTCGATAAAATAGAAATTAAGTGTGTTAAGCCTGGACTTGGACTTCTTGGTCTACACTTTGGTTGGTTTGGTTGTCAGTGCCGGCAGTTATGCGGTCCAGGGTGGTCCTCTTGTATTCCTCCCTCACAAAGATCATCAAGCACACCACCACTAATCCCTGGATGGCCAGTAAGTAGTCCATCCATATCACATTTGCTGAAGAAAGAATAAAAACAAATGAACTCTTTCTGAAATCCAGAAATGGAAACACTATAAATATTCTGTTTAAACCCTTAACATTTCTGGAGACTTAATAAGAGCACCAAAGTTGTACATAATTCCTATATATCTGCCAGGAAAGACTTACCTTAAACCTATACTACTCAGACCTATTGGTACAGCAATCCCTTATTAATTATTCATGGATTTAACATTTACATCTGATAAACAATCTATCACCATTCTGTATGGATGGATCTAAAAAGTTCTTGAAACTTTTGGAAGCTTAGCTTCTCCAGTTGCAACACAACACAAAGAAGTGGTGCCCAGTGCATCTCTCCTCTCTTGTAAGTCTGTAAATCCCACACCATGGCATACTCTGGTATCCTTTGTCCTCCTTACTCTCCTTTATGCTGGTGTGCCCAGCTTCCAGCAGAATTTATAAAACAAATGGGCAAGAATGAGATCAAATGTTTGATTAAAATATGTAATTCTATATACAGTACTGTACTGTACTTCAAAGGAAACCTTCCAGTGATTTAAAAGAAATCAGTATTTGTATTATTACAAAAAATGCCAGGAGCCTAAGAGTGCACCCAGTTTAGAACAATAAGCTTAATAAGTCATTCCTGCAAAGTTTTCTTAAAATTAATTTTAAGTAGAATAAAGTTTAGAATAGAAATTGAGTTATCTGAAGAGCAAAATAGATGCAGAAAGGGAAAAGGAACTAGAGAAGCTGGACAGGTGTAGTATTTGGATTGATAAGGTAATGCACAATAGGATTGATAAGGTAATGCACAATAAACTTATCTTAAAAAAAATAGGCATTAATGAAGGAGAAGTTAGAATTTTAAAGAATATTTACTGGTAACAGGAGGCTGCAGTGTTAGTACTGTAGATAATGGTCATACTAATTGGTTCACAGTTAGACAGGGAGTAAGACAAGGCTGTGTTCTATCTCCAACATTGTATAATATATATATTCAGAATTCTTAATGAGAAAAGTTTTAAGTGATAATGAAGGACTAAAAGTTACTGGTAAAGTAATATCAAATATACTGGAGGTACACTAAGCAGATGATACTGCTCTTATCACAAATAGTGAAGGGGCATTACAAAACCCATGAACAGATTATTGGAAACAGTGAAAAATACGGTTTAAGAGTGGAAAATTTTGTGTGTCTTTAGGAAGTAACATTAGCTGTGATGATAGACGTATGGAAGAAATCAAAACAAGAATAGGGCAGGCAAAATTTGAGAAAAAGGCTGCTGAAAGGCTTTATATAGCAAGGACTGATGTATGGGTCAGAAGCGAGGATACTTTCAGCAGACACCAGAAAGAAGTTGGAGGCCTTTGAAATGTGGTGTTATATAGGCAAATGCTACACTGACAGGGAAACAAGTGAAGAAGTAGTAAGATTAGCAAAAACTTCAAGAGAAATACTTGAAATGTACAAAAAAAGAAAAATGAGATACTTTGGTCATATAATTATGGATGAGGGAATAACAACAAATATTAATGAGCAACGTTAAGGGTAGGAGGGCCAGCGGAGGGAAGAGACTGGGATAGATGGATGGATGAAATTAAAAACTGTGCACCCCAGATAGATACAAAACCTTGGAGGATTGGTAAAAATAGTCCGATAACATTTAGAGTGGAGGACTGTAGTAGCCTACCCTCAGATATAAGGACGGTACTCTGATTGTGTGACCCAACAAACCCATGATACAGTGTTTCTTTACCCTGAACCCACAACCTCTATGAGAAAAGCAAGTGGTGATAGTAGTGCAGCTGGTGGTACTTAAGTGGTGATAGTAGTGCAGCTGGTGGTACTTAAGTGGTGATAGTAGTGCAGCTGGTAGTACTTAAGTGGTGATAGTAGTGCAGCTGGTGGTGCTTAAATGGTAATAGTAGTGCAGCTGGTGGTACTTAAGTGGTGATAAGGGATAAGAAAGTAATGATCTTAGTTCTAAAAGTTGTATTGTTCGATAAGTGCTGTGGCTATAGGCGGGACAGGAACAAGTCCAACATTCACTCCATCACAGAGAAAGAGTAAAGAGAGAAGGGAGAGTGATGCATCAAGTGTCTCCTAAATTGTAAAGTTTATCATATGACCAGTGATTGGGCATTAAGTTTGTGGATGGAGGACATCACCACTCTCCAGGGTGATTGCATGGTGGTGGCCCAGTTGCCTTTACGTATATCTAAAGGAAGTTTCAGAGTGGATGTCCTTCCTCTCACCAACACACTTTTATAGAGAGGGAACATTGTATATGTAGGACTTTCAAGTACTCCCTTAGCTAACAAGGCAAGGTTATTGTTTCTGAGATAATGATAACCCTCTACCTGATGGATTAACTAACTACAAATACTTAGAGGATGTTTCTTCATTATACACGATTAACAGATAATTTGTAAAAAAAAAAAAAATTAAATTTTTTAATCACCAAATATGTTGAAATTTACGTGACTCAGATAAGAAGACCGGTTAGTGCTGACCAAGCAGACAGATCACCGAGTCAATCAGTCAAGATGGTGTTCATGGAATTGCTTAACACATTTAAGAACTCTAAATGTTCCAGAAATTGAACTTACATTTTAATGGCGTTTGCATTGTGAGGAGGAAAGAGGCAGCGACTATATTCCAGCACATTGTTAAGAACGCCCCTACCACGCCCTCTGGCACGGGATATGCTAACTCAACGGCCAACTCAAAGAAGAGTGGAGAACAGGCGTAGTTGAAGGATGCCCCACTGATCACACTAATGAACAACTCAACTGCAGAAAGATATCAAATGATTAGATGTAAGATAAATCTCCCCAAAATACCCACACAAGAAATCACAAAGGAAGGAAACAAACTGGATGCTGAAAAAAATTAACACAGTACTATAATAATACAGTTTAGAGCAAATATTAAAAAGTTAACAAAATAATACAAAATAGAAGAAAATATACTAAATAACTGAACAAAATATTTCAACAGACAAAAAGAATTTATTAGAGAACAGAGAAGAAACAGTAAAGATGCTACAGGAGAGAACAGAACAGAGAACAAGCTCTCGGGGAAGATCACTCACCTTTGTTATAAGGAAGGCACCCGTTCATGAGGAGGAGGAACCACGTGTATCCCGCCGTGGCAAACGTCATCAGCACTATGATCGTCAGCTTCATGTACCCAAATAAGAGGTCGGAGAATCTGGCACTCAACAGGGCCATTACGACTCCTCCCAGTGTCACGTAGACGCCCAACCAGCTGGCCTCATCCTGCCGGGGAACGAAGTTAATTTATACTTTTAATTAGTAGACAATTGGGATCACCTGAAGATTAAACACCCTAATATTACCTTTGGGAGTTTGGTTAGGTGAGATAAGGTTAGTGTGCAGCATGATCATGAGGTGAAATAAATGTGCATAATATTCATGTGATCCTTAATTAGTAACACCTATAGCCTTTAAAACCCCCTTATAAAACAGCAACACACACAACACTAATTAGAAAGAATCTTTGACAGTGAATGAGGAAAGTCTGTGTGGGTCTTGAGTCTGGTCAACACAGGTAAAAAAAAAACCCATCCAAGAGTGAAAAACGAAAAGACTAAAAAAAAAAAAAAAAACACGATTTCCTTTTAACGGACAGAGAATTACCTGGTCCTCTCAGTGTAAACATTTGAAAAATTTGTAAAGCATTTCATAAAGTCGGTTGGATACAGTCATAGGATAGTTACTGTACTCTGATAGATACAGTAGATGGATAATTATAGATACAGTCTGAGGATAATTTCTGTACTCTATGCAAGTTTTTTTAATGTGGAAATGATGACAGATCCAAATGAAGAGTGGAGTTTAATGTACAGTCAACTACTAAAGTCCTGTTGCCTCTCCCCTGAACCACGAACCCCCGAGATGAAGACTCATGAATCCTTAACATTTATAGACAGAATAATGTATCAGTCCACTGCTTCGGGTTCACCAGTCTGACTCTTAGGGTTTGTGTTTCAAGGGGAAAGGCAAATGGACTTTAGTAGATGACTGTACAGTAATCATTAAAGTGGACTATGAAATACAGTAAACACTCCCAATAACGGATTTCTCACTAGTGTATTGCCGGACAAAATAACAGATGTCTTTTTGTTCGGTACAACTAGCGAACTTGGCCAGTAAGATCCAGTCAGGCGGTGCATGTTGGAGCTTACAAGACGATGCAAAACAACACACTGAGCTTACAGAAGTGATAAACTGTGAAAACACATTCATATATCTCTAAGCACATTTTACTAATATATACAGTCATCCCTTGGTTATAGCGCACTTGGTTATCGCGATTTTCGTTATCACGCCTCCATCAAAATCTGCACACCTGCTGTTATAGCGCATTTTTCAAGGCGAGAATTTAGTTATCACGCAATTGCCTCCAGGTGTATTGCTACCCCCTTGCTTCACCTACATCTATTGAGGATACAATCTTTCACCTACAAATTGACAAATAACACATTTGCTGTAATCATACATATCTAAGTTGCCTCAACAATTGCAACCCCAGTTGCAATTTCAAATTCTGTGTCATTACTAAGGAATAACGAAGTCTCGGGTGCACTCTAAGACTGAGAGAAAACGGAGGACTCAGGCGTCCTGAAGCGATAAGAAAACGGACTCCTCAGACGGGGGACTCAAATAAACAAAGCATAGCTACATGTTTTGTGGACTACAGTATTAAGCGTACCCTTTTCATCACTTTGTAATAAACCTAGCCATGCCTATGTGTGTTTCTGATACTTACCATAACATTACCTATATCTTTAGTGGGTCTAAATGGTCGTAAAATGGGAAAATTGGGGTTGGATGCCTGGAACCAATTAGAATAAATCCCAAAGGTTATTTTACCATATTAAATGAGAGGAAGGACAGGGGAAACACAATACATATACAGGAGACTGCACAATTCTTAACCAACACTTGCCCTGACTTGACAAGTGACAGTGAGTTATCGTGTCAGTGCCATTGTTACTGACTGGCAAGTCAGTAACCAGTGCTGACAAGACAATGTACTGTAGTGTCAAGAATCAATCAGGTCAAGGAGTCAATCAAGTCAGGTTAGGAGTCAGGAGTCAATCAGGTCAAGAATAAAAAATTAAAAACATGTGTTACCAAAACTGTGGCATAGTCCTTTCCACTTTTGTGGCAGGACAAAGATATAAAACCTCACGAAAGAACTTCTCAGAAGAATGTACATTAATATCAAAACAAAGTGAGAAATAATATATAAATTATACCAAGATATAAGTCAAATTAGTTTGTATCAGGATAACAAATTATATACAAGTTGTTTGGTGCTACCCACTAAGAGACTAACCTGAGAGATATCAAAAGGTGCAAGATTGATGTCGAGGACACTGGACCAAGCCACGTTGATGCCAAGAGTAATACTGTACGGCACCACCAGCAACCAAATATTTTTATTGCTGAAGTATATCAACAGAGTTTTAGGAGAAGCACCAGGTAGATAAAGCAGTGTACAGTACTGACATATTTACACAACAATAATATTTTAATGATTCTGCTACGAGTGAAGGAAATTATTCAAAGGGTATACTGTGTGATTCATTTGCTGGCAGCCTACCTAGAGGAGAGGGTTCCAAAGGTCTCTCACCATTAATGACTTAAAGACAAACATTTACCAGGAGACTGATGCCATTCAAGAGGACAAACATTCCCTATTGTGAAAATTGGCTCATAAATAACAATTACATCAACAATGGGGAGCTGCCAGTGAATGAATCACCCTGTATAATACTAAGAGGTGTATAACATGCACTCAAGATTAATTACCTGAAGAAAATGTCAAATATTACTTTTAACAAGGAAGGTGTGTTAGTGTGACGACACAGGCAGTAGAAACAGTGGCACCATTATTATATGTATAAATAGAACTCTTATTTCAAATGACCAAAATCCAAACTGATGGATTTGTCTTACTTTATATACATTTATCTGGTAATAGACACATTACTACCCAGACCTTCATTAATCTGTACATACATCCATCACTTAGGAGTCACTGTAGCCAAGTCTGTCTCATTTGTTTAGCCATTTACAGTAGAAGAGTCACATCCCTTACACCCCAGCCGCCTCTACCCCTCTCTGGGCCTTTTACATACATTACACAAATCACTATTTGTGGGTTTGTTTCCCAGATGAAGCCAAACTTTAAGATAACTTCCTTTGTAAAGAAGTGATTGAGGTCCTGGATAAAAATTTACAGGTAGATGAAACACTGTGGGTAACTGGCACAGTATAGTTAGTACAGTGGTGTGAGTTGTGTATAATATTCCTGGGTTATCTCATGATGATGTGTCCTACACAGATCTTAAATCCTAAATAGATCCTAAATCCTACAGAGATCCTAGTAATGATCAGTTCATTACAGCCTCCACTAAGTCAAAATATATCAACTGGTGAGGAGAATTGTCATGTCATAAGGAGGAGTCATTACACAGTGGGTTATGCTATAACCAACGGATTCTACTACCAATATTCCTATAACGAACGGTTTTACCTATAAAATTGAGAATGCTATAACGAACGAAACTCCTACAACGAACATGGATGAATGTGGGACTATTTCGCCCTGCGCATGAATATCGTTGTGCCGCGGCTCATAGCAAGAGCGTCAGGCGCCATATTGGTTCATTGTGTAGTCGGTGCACCACTGAACTTGTTGAAATTTCGTCTTTTGATGTGGAAATTCGTGTTATTTTTATAACTATTTTGTTATACAAGTGTACAATCGTAACAATGAATCGTCAAAAGCGAGTGAGAAAGCTAATAACCCTTGAAACTAAGAAAGAAATTATAAATAAACAGACAAAGTGCCTGCAAGACAGTCACCAAAGAGGGCTAGGAAGGATGACTCCTCTCCTTCCACCTCTTCTCCATAATTCTCTCCTCCTCCTCTGCCTCCTGTCCTGTATGCTGAACAACACTAAGGCAAGATAAAGTACCTTATTTTTTACAATTTCCACAGAAATTTTTCAGTGTTAAGTGGTTGTATTTGGAGGCCTGGAACGGATTAATCCTATAACGAACGAGGTTCTAGAACCGATTAGATTCGTTATAGTATACCCCACTGTATAAACAACACAACAGGAACTGGAAGCTACTAATGAACAAACGAAAGGTTATACAACTAATTTACTTGCTTACAGGTACAAATTACAGAACTCTAAGAATACTTTGAAGTACTACACTGGCAAAACTTACAATATATCACAGAAAATTTTAAGAAAGTACCACCAACCTTAAGAGCAGTTTGATATCTTTTACAAATGGGTTAGGACGTTCACGGATGAAGGAGGTGAGAGACGGAGGCTTGTGAGGCTTGTCTGGGAAGTATGATACGACTCCAACAAAAAGTGCAATGCAGAGTCCAGCAGCTGAAATAAGGAACAATTTAGTTTTCTTTTTTTGCCTGAAACAAAAGATAAATTCATATAAAGCTTAGCTAAGATGAGGAGTAACTGATTACAGCTTTACTGCTAATTAGCTTGGCCTAAATGGAAAAGTATGTGAGAGTATTTCCTGTCAGCATTGAACTCACATCTCCTATACTTGTGTGAATTACCTGTGATTACCAGAGAGCATTTGTTGGGTAAAACCAGAGAGGATGTCCCCCTGCCCCCACTGCTACATCTTCAGGGTACCAGCCCCAGAGACCAGAATATGGACACAGTTCTAATGATCCAGTTACCAACAGACATATTGAACAGCTGGCAAGGCAGGCTCACAATTGCATCAGGTAATCAAAGACTACCCACCTCTCTCTTCTCTACTATTCATTATGCACAATTCACTCCAATATTTCCTCCTTATCTAAGGCTTCTGTGCCCTTTGATCCACCACACACAATAGGAGTAAAAGTAAAATAAAAATACTGTACTGTATATATAGACCATTACTATCACTGAAGTGGGTGGATGATCTTGTTCTTCTTTAAAAGTTTACATCAACATTTACACTAATGAAATGCCACCCTAATTGTCCAGTTATTATGTGAACACTTACGAAGTAGAGAAATTGCAAAGCTTACAAAACAAATGAACTGAAATTATGCAACACAATTATTCTAGGACTCTTTCTCCATGTTGCAAGTGTACATTCCTTATTAGAGGAGGTGGAGAAAATCAACACCACCGCCGCAAACCACACACACGCACGCACGCACGCACACACACGCACACACACACACACACACACACCTATACTGTCATTTAGTTTTTACTGCCGGTAGAAATCTTACCAAGGTGGCTTCTCTTTGGTATCCCTCTTCTGTATATGAGATGATATTCAAACTTATATGATCATGTGACACAAACTTGTAAACATCAAGAGAAAATAGTCAATGTTGAATCACATAATATAAAGTTTAGAAGAGCTTAAAACAGAGGTTATAACACGCACACACACACGCATGCACGCGCACACACACACACACACTGAGATTAACAGATAAAATTGTGTAAACATTATTTTAGTGAAACAGTCTATAGAGAAGTGCCTCCACAACTTACTGATCCACATGTAGTCCCTTATACTTCTTCTCAGGTCATCAACTTCATCACTACTGATATAATGTGTGGAGTTGTCAGGCCGGGTGTGGTTTCTCGGCAGTTGGACGAGCCACGGACCGAGAAAAAAACCACCAGCATTTCCGAGCTGGTTAAAGGTGCATCCTATACCTGAAATAAAGCCCGAACAAACATAAGATAACGTCAAAAAATATTGAGATAATATATTTTTTTATTACGGTATATAAAAAATAATAATAATAAAAAAAGTTGATAATACACACACATCAGAAAAAATTCCTACCAAGTTCCACTAAAACCAAATTCAAAATAGAGGACTGATGGTTAAAAGGTTCATGTCAGCAGGCACAGGGAGCCACACACATACATCCTGAAAATTTTTATTATGGACTGTACTGTAGTCACAACATTCAAGGCCAATACAGTACAAAAATGCAGTACTGTATATTACAATAAACTGAGGAAAGAGCTCAAGTGATGTACAATCACTCAAAATTGTGTTGAGAAAATATGATGCAAGGGACGAAGGATTTTCACAACCCTACCGAGACAACAGGAGTCTTAATGTTCAATCTGAAATTCATCATTCAACCCCCATAATAAAGATAGTTTTTAAGTGACTGAACAACATGTGAACACTCAATAAACTCCCCCCCCCTTTTTAGAACTAGCCAGACTTATCATTATAATTTATTAGGATGGGCACAAATTTCAGCCAGTTAGCCCATAAACATGACATAATTTACTACTAAACACATAACACTGTTACCCCAGCACGTTTAGACATGAAGTGTCACCTCTCGTACCTATCAGCTCTCTATATCAAATCCAATTACATCACTGTACAGTAACCCCATTAAAGACAATACAGTATAAATAATATAAAAGGTAATATAATGTGTAATTTTTTAATAAACTGTACTACTATATACTGTACTGTACTGTATAAAGTAAAATTGTAAAAGGAAACATTTATTGGCTGCTTAGTGCACAGTGGACCCCAGAACCCTCACTTGATAAAAGTCTAGACAATTGGCAAGTCTGCACCGCATTTACCTCCTAAATTGTCAGGACTTTCAAGGGTTCACTGTACCATTAACAATGGAAGTTAGCTGTAGGGACAATGGCCATCATCACAGGATGTGTCAGGTTCCTTGTGTTCCATTTTAGCACAGACAGTATTGTGGTGGACCAGGGATCCTAAGCCACAGTTAAAGAATTAAAAGTAATCAAAGGGGGACATAACACCTGGACAATAGTAATGGAAACATATAGAACTATTCTGCAGTTTTGTTGTAAAATGTCTGAATATCCAGATTAAGTTAAACTCAATTACTTTATGTTTAAGTTTTCAAGCTCACATACCGGTACACGACTGCCTGCCATACAAGTATCTATATCTGTCTTAGTTGGAGCAAAGAAATAATATTATAATTAACTGAGGTGAGTGTGGGGGGGGTATAGAGAAGTGAGGAAGGATTTATTTAATTTAAGAGATGAATGTGTAAAAGACTGAGGACACAAGAGGACTCGGCACTTACCAGTAGCAGTTGTCCTCTCCCTGGCAGGAAACCATCTGGAGGATATCAACGACGGCGCCGCACCGATGATAATCCCAGCGAAACCATTAAGTACAGCCCCAATGTGAGCCAATCTGGAACACACACAAACACAAAAATCAAAATCACCAACAAGACGGTAACACTTAAATTAAAATACTTTGAAACTACAGCACATTTTGTAATCAGAAGTCAGGGTCAAAGTTGTTAAGAGTTCATAACACAAGTAGATAATTCCTTCCTTTTATCTGAGGTTATATAAGAATAGTTAATTGTTTACATTTTGAAAGCTTTTGGGTCTCTGATGGAGAATGACATGACAGCTCACCAATTACGGGTAATTAGTTGAATATTAATAATAATTCAACTGACACAATGGAGTGTGGATATGTAATTGTGTAAGGAAGTCTGTGGTCATTTTTACGTGTACATACTATATACGGTACAGTTGATACATCCCAGAGTTAAATGATCTCGAGGCAGAGTAAAGATTATAGTTGAAATTTTTCTCGATAATTATTGGAAGACGACTAACATGAAAAACACATCTGGTCACACATCTAGATTTTAAGTAATATTTGACTCTTCACGACTGACAACTAGAGGGATGAGATAGAAGGTAGAGGCTCATAGAAAGAGTACAGTACAGTTCATCAAGTGGGCAGCTCCATTTAAAAGACTCTTTGGTTGACTGAGTTGTTTTTTGTTCAATTACCAAAACCCACTCAGGTAGTAAACCCACTCAGGTAGTAAACCCACTCAGGCAGTAAACCCACTCAGGCAGTAAACCCACTCAGGCAGTAAACCCACTCAGGTAGTATAATAAAGAGGTGAACACAGGCAATGGTTGTCTGTGGGGAGTTTAGAGGATGAGAGGAGGACAAATATACGAGAAAAAATGACATAAAGTTGATCTGTGGTCTTGAACTAACATAAGAGAATAAAATATCCCAACAAACTTATGTGTGTCGCTCATCTAATGAAACAGTTCACCACTTGGGTAGTACTGTATAATGAATCTGACCGGTACAGTACATTGAAAAGCCACTTACATTGTAAAGGGAATTTCTTCAGTGGTAAAACATCTTATTGAAGTTCCGGCTGCCATAAGAAAAACCGTCAACAGCAAGGCCACACGGATACCTGAAACAATTGAGTGTTGAAAGATATTTAAAGTATACAGTACAGTAATATGTCCATTAGCAGGAATCCCTCAAACCCGGAACTCTCTGATAGCCGGAATTGAAATTTTCTCAGAATATCGTTCCCAAAGCCAGAATTTCCCAGAAAATTCCGGCTTTGGCAATGATTTTCCAAGGAGCACATATCCTGGAAAATTCTGAGAAAATTTTCCCAGTACACGAAAAATTCCAGGGATGGGGGATTTTTTCCGGGTTTGAGATATGATGTAATGCTCAGTTTTTGGAACTTCCGAGAATATTTTTCCGTTACTCGGAAAATTTTGGGGAAGAGGTATTTTTTTTCCGGCTTTGAGAGATGAAATAATGCATCATTCTGAAACTTCCCCAAAAAAATTTCCGTTACCCGGAAAATTCCCAAAACCTTAGTGTTTATACCGTAGTGAAGTGAGTCACAGCACACCTTTTGTCTGGAGCAGGAGAGTCATGGGTGCCAGGCCCATGATCATGGTGATGGTCCCCCACATAGAGAGTAAAGCAATTTCAGCATCATCCCAGTTAGGATAAGCCAACTTTACAGAGGCAGTAATTGGACCCCAGGTATTCCACACTGCACACTGCAAAATACAATAACCAGTCACAATGCAGAACTGTACAGTATATAAAATGGCAAAATGACAGAGAAAAGTGTGTGTGCATAGAAATGGACCACCACTTGAAGAATCCCCACCCAGCTTATTTTACCTAATGATAACCACATAATTACTAGTTGAGGGACTGAAGTTAGGTTAGGTTTAGGTGGTTAATCTTTAGGTGAAATAACTTAGATGGGGAGGAGATTCTTCAGGTGATCCACAGAAGTGTTGAGAAGCACGTGTATGCAAGGTGGTGAGGATGGGTGGCAGTACCAATTTGACTTCTGAGAACAATGAGCAGCAGATCATTGTTTGGATGTCACTAGTAACAACTAAGGTAGAAGTTTAGTCATTAAAAGTAGACCAGTCACTAGCACCTAGCTGCTTTAAACACATCAGACAATTGGCATCAAATTCAAGTGTTTTTTTGTCCATAACTGCCATCACTACCAGAATAGCTTAGGAAATATCAAGCAGTCTTGTCTCCTCTGGTAAATGCTATTCCAAACAATATTTAATAAAACAACTTCCTGATGCTAATAGAAATATTTTCAATGCATATATCTCCAGCACATCTATAAGGTTAAAGAGTTTTACCCTGCCCAAATGGTGTAAAAAATTCTTTGATCCTCTAAAGCTCTTTCTTTTATTTTCCTCAAACCAAAGATTCCTTCCCTAGTTCCTCTTCCCTTCCCAAATCAAGAAAATATATCAACAGCACACATAAGGTACAGTTGGGGACAAAAAGAATTCAGTAGGGTGGGAGGGCTAGGTGAGGTTAAGTAAGGTTAGATTAACTTTAAGGTGAAATAAGCTGGTGTGGCTTATCTTCACATGATTCAAAATGTGGTCCCTCCTTCACCTCCTGTGTGTCAATCTCATTCCTTCAGTTCTTACCTGCATGAAGCCCATCCCAGCGAACAGGAAGAGAATCCACCAGCGACGTTTGTACACCCTCACTTCCACACTTGACATCATTACAGTGTTTTCAATATCTGAGAAACAAGGTTAACAATTACTACCATAATTGTACAGCACAAAAACATGATTTATGACAATTACACTCATCTACTTTAGGATTTCAACAAAGTACTGTACAGAGGCTTCTAGTTATTGTCCAGCAAATGGTCGTCATGTAAAAAAAATAAAATAAAATAAATAAATAAAAAAAATTGCCAAGCAAACACTATACGTAGCCATGTAAACAATATAAGTAGCCATGTAAACAACAGAAGTAACCATGTTCTCACACCGGTTCTCTGCAGCATCTCCAAATGGGGAGGTAGAAACTTGGTTAAATCCAATAGTAATAAAAGACAGTAGTTACCAATTACACTTTCCAAAACAGAAGATCTCCCACCAATCACATTTCAGGATGCAATCATTCTATCAAATTCTAAAATAGATATGCTAGGCCTCACCATTTCCTCCAATATGTTATGGAAGCCACACATCCACAAGATTGCTAAAGCTGCCTCCTGAAAGCTGGGAATGCTATACAGATGCCATAACTACTTCACTCCTGAGCAGTTGCCTCAAGTATATAAGGGATTCATTCGTCCTAACTTGGAGTACTGCTCTCTTATCTGGGGTGGCTCCTCTTCTGTCCAACTGTTAGATAGAGTGGAATCAAAGGAATTTCGTCTTATTAACTCTCCTCCTTTAGTAGATAATCTATCTTCCCTTTCTTTGCCACAATGTTGCTTCACTCTCTCTTTTACAGGTATTTTAACGGGCAATGTTCGGTGGATTTGGCATCCTGTGTCAGTAACACTAGAATAACCCGTTATAGTACATCTTTCTTTCCTCACACAGCCAATCAGTGGCTCTTCTTCTTGTGTTTCTAAACTCTTAAAATCTGTCTCACTTCAAAAAGCTGGTACATGGATATTCTGGCATCTTCGTGGTGTAGATCAATACAGTACTGCATAGTCCTTTTCTCTTCTACTTTTAATTTCTTTTTACTAATTTTTTCGCCCCTAGGCCCCATTGTGGGTCGATGACCTGTGCCCAGGTGGGCTATTCCCCGTATAAAAAATAAATAAAAAAATAAAAATTAACAGAAGTTGGTCACCAACTCTACCATGCTCCAGCAGTCTTCCAAACACTCAGATAGGACACTTTTTAATTATTTATTCTGAATTTTAACTACAATTTTAACTACAAAAAAGCAAAAATGCTTCGGTATCATTCTAATTTTTGTTAATATTCTTTGCGTATAAATGCTATATAACTTGGAACTGATATGCTGAAAGATGAACAGGTAACTAAGGTGAAGAGGGTGAGTCAGCTGGCTGGTGTGCCACTAGAGCATCTTGAAGGTAAACTGATCTTGATGACTCATGAGTGAATAACTGTACTCATGAATAATTTATCACATCGGCTGATTTGGCTTCAGTAAGGTTTCTTCTTCTGCACATGGCCTTACCTGCCTCACTATCAGTATAAAACTCATATACTGTATTCATCAAGTTTCGTCTATAATGCATAAATTGTTGTGGCAAAGAATTTACAGTACTTACTGACTGATCCTTAGCACACTTTTTGGAGAATGAAATTAGGAACATAATTTTTCCATCTGTTTTAAGAATTATGAAGGGCAGTGCACCTGGTTAGAATATACACTGTACTGTAAGATACTTTCCGAGTGCAGGGTGATACTGGCTGGTACAGTACACAGAAAATAAATAATAATACGCAGCTTCTTCCTGTGGTGTGATAGAGGCCATACCACCAGCAGCAGCAGACGAGATTTGGAGAGAATTTTGAATATAAAAACACTCCCGAAAATTGAGTTGTTTCCACACATTGATTTTTCTCAGAATCCTGATACACTTGAGTACTTACATACATCTAGCAACTAATGGAAGTCATCAGTGTGTGGGGGACTGTGATTTTATATCTGTCTATTCAAACTTTTCTTTGTATTATGGAGTCTTATTCAAGTTGCACTTCCGACATATCTCATAACTGGCCATACACCAATCTTATATGGCCCACAAATAGATGCCAGAAATACTGTTTGATGGGTGGTAGGTAAACACAGGAAAAAGAGAAGTTTCTTTATTTCTGTAAAGTTTGGGCTACATAAGAACATTAAAGGAATAAAGAAACTTAATATTTCCCATGTTCCTCCCCCACCCATCAAACCCACTTGTCGTCATGGACTGGTCACGTACTGTACTGTATTGTCAAATATTACAGGAATTACCCAGGGTGAAGTGAGTCACCCAATTTTTTATATTCTCATTTTATTTACAGTATTTATTACCTAGTGTTTGGTATTATTATTACCTTTATTGTTTGTTTTTATTTTTATATTAATTTCACATAAATATAATGCCACTAAAGTGATTTTCTAATGTAGCCCAAATAACCATTTATTTTATTTTTTCACTCAAATTTATTTTTTAGGGTCTAAGGGTTTGTGGTTCTTTCTCAATAAAATATTATGTTTAATGTAGTTATTATACTCTGGTTGATCAGGTCATCAGGTTGTAGTTCAATTTATCCCTGCATTTAATTTTTAATGGAATCAAACTTTTGGACAAATATCTCAGTAAAGAAACGTACCTTTTTGTTTTTCTCATTGACTATACTGTAGATGCTTACCATTTATAAATCTTGGGAAAATCTGGTGAAAATTTAATAATAAATGATGATGTTATAACAAATTCACATTAGGTGGTTCAAACTGCCCCTGGTGACACTCATTTCAGACTTACAATACAGTGGTCCCTCAGTTAACAAGCACAATCCATTCCAGCAGGTTGCTCGTTAACCGAAAAACTCGTTAACCGAAACCATTGTTTCAATGGGTTTTTGGGTAATTGGTTCCAGCTCACCGGAAATTGCCTAAATTCAACAAAAAAGGTAGAAAAGTACACTTACTTTGAGGTGTGTATGTAGAAGGCTCCTGGATGATGATGATGGGAATTAGAATGGGGGTGGAGGAGAAGGAAGAAGAGAAGGCATTGGGGTGGAAGAGAAGTCACCCCATGGCGCCATTTCACCCATAAAATTTTAGCTCTCTTGGTGTAATTCAAGATTATTTTCTTTAAATCAACACTGCACTGCATTATATATTGTCAATATGTAAAATATATTTCAGAATGACCAATAACTTGCTTGGAAACAAAGAGAAAAAGCGTTTAGTTGAAGAGAGTCTCAAGCAAGATGTTACCTCCACTGAAAACAGAGAGAGACTAACGCCTGTCTGGTGTGTTTACAGGCTGGATGGCACGCCAGAAACTAGTTTCTTTACCTTCAATTATGTTCAATTATTGTTAAAATGACTAAAAAAGTTAATATTAAACTTTTAAAATTATTGAATAGTATAAACCTCTTGATATTTACTAAAATAGTAAGGAATTTAAGCCCTAAAACCGATTACTGTATTGGCGGACTAATACTACAGCTGGTGGACCGCCGAATGCAAGCGAAAACAGATTGAAGTCGGCTCGTAAAAAACTCGTTAATCGAGGGATTGCTCGTTAACAGAAGTTAAGAATCTTATGGAAGTTAAATCGTCAACCGAAATCTCGTTAACCGAGGCGCTCGTTAACCGAGGGACCACTGTATCTTAAAATTAATTTCTGATGATAATTATAAGAAAAATGTCCTCACGCACACACAAAGTGGCTGCTGTATACCTGACTCCTCTAGTTGGGGAATAAAACGAGCGATACTTAACCACAACTAATAGGCAGCTAATTCTACAGTAATATGAAGTGAGTTTGTATTTATAATTTAAAAATATTCAGGTGGGGCTCTTTCAAAGTTCAGACACTTACAATACTGAGCTGTAGTTGTGCTGTAGCAGACACTACAATACTGAGCTGTAGTTGTGCTGTAGCAGACACTACAATACTGAGCTGTAGTTGTGCTGTAGCAGACACTACAATACTGAGCTGTAGTTGTGCTGTAGCAGACACTACAATACTTAGCTGTAGCTTCCATTAATACTGTACACAAAAGAAGCCCCTGTACTTTCTCTTACACTGTATGTAAAAAAATAAGGACAAGACAAATGGAAAAAGCGTTTTATCTTTTTTAAGTAACAGTCAAACCAACAAATATGGCAGCAACATACCCTCAGGCACAATAGCCTGCAAGTCATCTGCTCCTGGCATGGTGGAGGATTCGGCTGCCTGTCCTATCCGTCGAGTAAACTGAAAGGCATAAAATATACAGTATTATAAAACTGCTTAGTTCCTCTTCAGGTGATCAAAATATTCTCTTCATTATATTTACTTCCTCCATCATTAAAGGAAATTGTCTGAATCTCTCTCCTCGTCTCCCTCAGTTAGCAATAAAACTCCGGTGATCCTACACAAACATCCACTCAAACATCTTGTCTAGACACTGAGAATATCATATGCTACACTTTATCTGTTATGCTGTGTCAGTATCAGTGTTGTATCAGCGTGTATGTAAGCTCTGCTGTTTGTATAGTACCGGTAGTCCTAATGAGTATTGACTGGGGTCTGGATATAGGATGATAAACGACCGGTACTCCACCTACAAATAATAAACTACTTCAATGTTGGAGTAATCGTGTGGGACCTCTGATTAAAAAAAAAATTATCATTCCTAATTGGCTGTAAACTCAACCTAAACTTTCTGCAGTAGTCACAAAATGCAGGAGGTAACTTGAAATAAGCAATACAATAATTATAATATGTATGAGGGCAGGTTTTACAAGGTTTGAGGCTCAAGCTCTAAATTACTTAGAAAACTGATAATCACAATCAGGTTGGTATCAATTCTCTTCCAAAATAGCTAAAGGACTCAGCACTGCAGTATAGTACTACTTCCTCTGGCTAAAACTGGATTAGACCATTAAAACTCATGCATATAATACCTCTGCATCTTTAGTGTGTTGGGTGCACAAGTCCTTTACATGCATACTTTGAACTATATGAAGAAGACATATATATATATATCTCCTTGGCTGTGGTGTAACATGAAGGGGGAAGAACACATAAACAAAACATCATTCAGCCAAATACTGTATCATCAAGAAGGAACCATTTGGTCAAGTGTGCATCAATTATATTCCTACCAGTACCCAGCCTGAAGAAGGATATTTGGATTTTCACTCTTATGTTATCGGCACTGTATCATACTGAAATGTAACCAACTCACTTAAAGTCTAACATAAACTGGCTTTGTCACAATCCTTACACACACACACACACACACACACTTGCTTGTAGGTAAAAACAGAGAAGCTATCTGGTCCTCATAAAACTATCAAAACATGCTAACAGTTCCAACAATTAAGAGAAATGAGGTTAGGTTAGTTGATTCAGATCATATGTAATAGTTATGTCATTTCACAGTACTGTCACGCACACACACTGTCAACTGTTAACAACATCTGGATGCTTTAAATTAAATGTACTGAACCTGATTTTAGTACCATGTGAAAGCACAGTTAAAGTTTTACTTGTATGCATATTAATTAACTAACGATAATAAGAACATAAGAAAATAAGGAGTCTGCAATAGGCCGGTTGGCCTGTGCATGGCCGCTCCTGTCGAGAGTTACAACCACTCTCTATCATCCATGAATCTATCTAGCCTCCCTTTGAAACTTTCCATCATTCCAGCACTTACTACAAAGTTGCTAAGCTTGTTCCACTCGTCCACCACCCTATTTGTAAACCAGTTCCTTCCTATCTCCCTCCTAAACCTAAACTTATCCAACTTGAATCCGTTGTTCCGAGTCCTATCCTGCTCGGATATTATAAGAACTTTATCTATATCACCTTTATTGATTCCTCTCACCCACTTGAATACTTCTATCATATCTCCCCGCACTCTTCGTCCTTCTAGGGAATGCAAGTTTAGTTTCTTTAACCTATCCTGATATGGAAGGTTTCTAAGTCCCAGAATCATTTTCGTCATTCTTCGCTGCACCGACTTTAGTGAATTGATATCCATTCTATAATAGGGGCACCAGAACTGAACCGCATAATCAAGGTGCGGCCTGACTAGCGCAAGATATAGTTGCAATAAGACCTCTGCACTCTTGTTACTTACACTTCAAGATATAAAACCTAATGCTCTGTTTGCCTTATTTCGAACATTAACGCAGTACGCACTGTTTTCTAGGCAGTAGGTCCGGGCTTACAAGTACCCCTAGGTCTCTTTCACAAGTGGACTTCTCTAGGTTGATGTTGTTAAGGCTGTATACAGTGACAGTAATTGTTCTTCTAATATTAAGTACGCTGCACTTACTGTTGTTGAATTTCATTTGCCATTTTTCAGACCACCCCTGCAGTTTATTTAGATCCTCCTGTAATGCATTTGCATCCTGCCCTGAATTAATCTGCCGCCCTATTTTGGTGTCATCCGCAAACTTGCTTATGTCACTGCTGATCCCAGTATCTAGGTCGTTTATGTAGATCATGAACAAGAGTGGGCCTAGTACTGACCCCTGGGGAACCCCTCTGGTTACACGACCCCACTCAGATATAACACCATCTACGCTGACCCTCTGCGTTCTATCGGTGAGCCATGATTTTATCCAATTTAAAACTTTCCCCTCGATACCATGAGCCTTAATTTTTCTCAGAAGCCTCTGATGCGGTACTCTGTCAAATGCTTTGCTAAAGTCTAAGTAAATAACATCGTAATTTTCGTCATTATCCACTACCTCGAAGACTTTCCTAAAAAATTTCAGCAGATTTGTTAGACAAGATTTTCCCTTTGTAAACCCATGTTGAGAGTCGTAGATTAATTTGCTATTCTCTAAATGCGATTGGATGTTATAATGAAATGGGATAACTTGAAAAATCTCCAACCTGATGAGACATTTGCCAAAGTATTAAAGGAATGTAAGGAAGAGCTTATTATGCCCTGAGCAAAAGTGTTTAACTTGTACTTAAAAACGGGTGTAGTCCCAGAATCCAGGAGGATAGCGAATGTAATACCAAAAGAAGGGAGATAGATCACTCACTACCGTCCAATCAGCTTAACATCAATTGTAGGCAAATTACTGGAAGCAATAATTTCAAACTCTATTCGAAATCACCTGGAGAAGCACAAGTTGATCAATGATTCCCAATATATATATATATATATATATATATATATATATATATATATATATATATATATATATATATATATATATATTAAACAGAGAAGCCAATGATAAGAAACAACTAGACAAAATAATATATTAAAGAAACACTGGATATTTTCTTTCTATTTATGGAAAAACTATTAAGTCACATGACTTGACTCCCGGTCACTGAATTCTTTGTTCATCTTGTAAATAACCTTCCCTACACCCTCATCTGCCACTCACAAGTCTCTGCCACTCATACACCAGTATACTCACCCCGGAAGTCAGGGAAACATTTAAAAAACAAAATACCTTTAAAATGCGAGTCGTGAACCTGTTGGCATCACAAGTTTCTTTGTCACAGATGGCCCATTTATGTTGACAAAACAATATAAATGATGTTTACTCTACACTCTTAATATATCCACTAGTAACTTTAAGATAAGTCTCCTTAATACTTTAGGTGTCCTCAGTTCAGTGTATATTGTTTGTTTACACTGAATCAGCTGTGGTCTACCCTGCCGACCGTTTAAACCACTCTTACACACATTCCTCCTTCCATCACTGTTATTTACTCACACCAGTTAGTAAAAATCAGTATCATAATAATACCAATAAAAATAAATCTTACTTAAACTGAATCCAACTATGTAACAAGCGTGATGTGGTGAATAGCTTCCGCAGTACCTTCCTCTCACCCTCACACTGCACTACTGAGGCTCAGGCTGCCAGCTGGTGTCTTTACTACTTCACTACTTCATGTCACTATCAGTTGTGTCAAATTCTTCAGCCTTGTGTCAACTTATCTTCCTAACAATCGATGAAAGTACATTAAAATAACAAAATGAATATATTCGAATAAATATAACTTTTATTTATGATTATATTCCGAATTAAAACGTTATATTCATTATCAAAATGTTTGTGTAATTCTGCTCCTTATCTAAGATTAGGTGTATTGTACTGAATTTGCACTCTTATAAATGGTTCATATATGACCTTCCCTTCCCTCCCCCCCTTCATGATGTAATAACCTACCAAGCTGCCTCATTTAAGCTGAATCACCAAGATGGCAGATGTCATTGTGTTAAGATTTATGCTAGTCTATTATTGTACCAAGACGAGTTCACTCATTTTCATCATCCAGGGGTAATAATTCAACAATAAATACTTTCCGAGCCTCCAGTCAGAGGGTTACTCAGACAAAACTAGATTGAACGAGAATTAAAATGATTCGGCGAAACCTCAGGAAGATGAAGTGAAGTCATATTATTCGGAAAGAAATAAAGTGGTTTGTAATCAGTGTGGCGGCATGACTAGTGACAATATATACATGTACTACTATCGCTAACAATGGCGCTGATATGATGTAGTAGTCGCAGAAGTAGAGGAAGAAGATTTGTAGGGTGAGTAAATACGATCCAAAATAAAGGAACCCTGCAGGTCATAGGCAGCACACCATACAACTCAGTTCCACAAGCGGCACACAGGATAATCAATACCCTCTCCTCTCCCGTGTCTATAAAACACATTTATGCCAGGTGCTGTGATGAATAACATTAATCCCGATTTTTCATTCAAGTTTTTGCCAAAGTCTTGATGTATTTTCAGTGCCATTCAGCCAATTTCCTTATCTTGTTTTGGTTACAACTCATCCTTGTATCATAGTGAACCTGTGGGTGGTAACTGATAACGTTTTTCTATATATATATCTTTATTATGTAATCATTTGGTAGACTTTTGTAATATTTTGCCCTTATGTTCTACTCCAAAAAATACTATATTATTAATTATGATTTTATATTTTAAGTAAACACTTTTCTTCATCCTTCAGCGGGGTAAAGGTATTTGTATTTCAGTTAGTACCTATGAAGCCTTGAGTAGCCTACACGGGTATTATCTAAGAGTCATACCGTGGGACTGACTAGTGACATAACATAAGAACATAAGAATATAAGGAGTCCGCAATAGGCCGGTTGGCCTGTGCATGGCAGTTCCTGTCGAGAGTTACTACCACTCTCTATAAGAACATAAGAACATAAGAATGAAGGAAACTGCAGTGGGCCTATTGGCCCATACTGGGCAGTCCCATTTTCACCCAGCCCCTATTGCTCATATATCTATCCAACCCATGTTTGAAGCATCATCCATAAATCTATCCAGCCTCCTTTTAAAACTTTCCAGCGTTCCAGCACTTACTACAAAGTTGCTAAGCTTGTTCCACTCGTCCACCACCCTATTTGTGAACCAGTTCCTTCCTATCTCCCTCCTAAACCTAAACTTATCCAACTTAAATCCGTTGCTCCGAGTCCTATCCTGTTCGGATACTATATAAACTGTATCTATATCCCCTTTATTGATTCCTTTCACCCACTTAAATACTTCTATCATATCTCCCCGCACTCTTCGTCTTTCCAGGGAATGCAAGTTTAGTTTCTTTAACCTATCTTGATACGGAAGGTTTCTAAGTCCCGGAATCAGTTTCGTCATTCTTCGCTACACCGACTCCAGGGAATTGATATCCATTCTATAATAAGGGCACCAGAACTGAACCGCATAATCGAGGTGCGGCCTGACTAGCACAAGATATAGTTGCAATAAGACCTCTGCACTCTTTTTACATTCACTTCTAGATTTAAAACCTAATACTCTGTTTGCCTTATTTCGAACATTAACGCAGTTTTCTAGGCCGTAGGTCCGGGCTTACAAGTACCCCTAGGTCTCTTTCACAAGTCGACTTCTCTAGGTTGATGTTGTTAAGGCTGTATACATTGACAGTATTTGTTCTTCCAATATTAAGTACGCTGCACTTGCTGGTGTTGAATTTCATTTGTCATTTTTCTGACCACTCCTGCAGTTTATTTAAATCCTCCTGTAGTGCATTTGCATCCTGCCCTAAATTAATCTGCCGCCCTAATTTGGTGTCATCCGCAAACTTGCTTATGTCACTGCTGATCCCAGTATCTAGATCGTTTATGTAGATTATGAACATGAGTGGGCCTAGTACTGACCCCTGGGGAACCCCACTCTTCAGACAAGACATGAGAGGACAGACCCACACAGATATTAATTAATCATCTTAAGGGCCAGTGGCTGACACACCTGGACATGGTTAGGTGTATACATTACGTAACCAGGACCTTTAAAAGTGTTTACAGCGTCCAACAAAGAAGCATGCGGAGTTCATGCACTTAAGGGCGTAAGTGCCTGAAGGGCCATGAATTATGACAGCAAGTCACATATAGTGACAGCATGAGTGTGTGGGGGAGAATTACTGGTTTCTGACTGTACGTGACCTCACCTCACCCTGGCTACTACCATCATCAAGATCATCTGAGGAAGCAACCCACTAAAAATGAAGTATATATTTTGCAAAGTAAATATTAAATTGAAATAAAGAAAATCCTTTATACAGGTACAAGGGTCAAACACCGAACAATTATAAGCACAGAGTTACTATATCTAGTTTAGTTAAGCGCGTCATCCTGAAACACATTAACTCAGGTCCCAGTCTTTGTACACGCACCTCTTATGTAGAGTGTAACTTTTTATCAGTTACCAGTGTATTAAAAAGTTTCATAAGATGCGAACATTATCATGGAGGAAACCAATGTCTAAACTACATTGTTCTTATTACCGTCATCCTCAGAGGTAGCTGAATTTAATTATCTTCGGCCTTAATACAACATTTGTTCATCTATGAAGCGGTCTTTATTGATGAGTTCGGTAATGAAAAATATTAAGATGATCAGAATACTGTATTAATATCAGCATTGTCGTAGTGTTGTGTTTGTCTTAGTTAAAACCATGCCCTAGAGTTAGCGTATTTGTAGCCATAGTTTGTCACCACAGCTGCTGCAACACATTACTTGCGGTTTACAATACACCTCCCTTTGAACCCTGTCGCGCTCCACTGACCTTCAGAGGCAGCGCCAAACTCGAGTATTGATTGCCGGTGTTAAGACAATGGTCAAAAGTTGCTTACCTTTTACCTGTATGTATTAGTATTCTAGTGTTTAAACCTTTATGGGAATTATAAACCTAAACTTAGTAGTATTAACACTCACCTGTACAAGCTCTGGGGAGTCGCAGCACCAGCCAATGAATCTGTTTATGTAAAATTTAGGAATACGACAGTCTACTTTGACCAGTTATTCACTTGCTTCCCCAAACTTCAAAATAATCAGAAGACTCTAAAAAACAAAAAGAAACGTTCTCCGCCAGATGGACAATTACAACACTGATTTCAGTAATAGTTTACACTATCACGGAACCTTTGATAACCATGATATTTGTTGAACAGTGGCAGAACGCGGATTGACTCCGACCTGCCCTTGACCCACTCCAAGTAAGCCATTGTTGTGGTTCATATGAGCGCTGCCTGGAGAGCTACGGTGTCGGGCGTCCACAAACCACACCGCTCCCCCCGCCGCCTGTAGTCATCGCTGATGTTTTGTTTAACTTCGTGTGGTAACCAGAGAGTCATGTCCGGTATCTTGTTATTCCTGGATTGTTGGTTGTTGAGGCTTTGTGATTCATTGTGACATTTGGAGGCGGTGCAAGGCTCGTTTGGCTATGGAGAAACAGCAGACCACTTGAAGTCTATATACCCCAGCTTATTTCACCTGATGATTACATACCCCAGTTTATTTCACCTGATGATTACATACCCCAGCTTATTTCACCTGATGATTACTTACCCCAGCTTATTTCACCTGATGATTACTTACCCCAGCTTATTTCACCTGATGATTACATACCCCAGCTTATTTCACCTGATAATTACATACCCTAGGGTGTTAAATCATCAGGTAAAGTAAGCTGTGTGATTGACCTTCAAGTAATCTAAAAAGCTATTAAGGTGAAGTGGGTACGGTGACACCTGGAGACGTGGGAGCTAATTATGTAAGTTGTTTATTAAAGGTACAGTATAGATAATGAATCACCTGAGGATTTAACCCCCAACTGCCTTTACCATATTATGAACAATCGTAATGCTAACCTAACCTAACCTAACCTAACCTACTCTACACCCAACTCCTATTGCTCATATATCCATCCAACCTATGTTTGAAGCTATCCAGCGTATTCGAGTTAATGATGATATTTGGTAACTTGTTCCATTCATCCACTACTCTATTTCCAAACCAATGTTTACCTATCTCGCACCTAAATCTAAATTTGTCTAATTTAAAACCATTGTTACGAGTTCGCTCCTGGTTGGATAGTTTGAGTACCTTTGTTATATCACATTTGTTTAGCCCTGACTTCCATTTATACACCTCTATCATATCGCCCCTCACTCTACGTCTCTCGAGGGAGTGCAAATTAAGATGCTTTAACTTGTCTTTGTACTCAAGGTTCCTAATGCCCGGGTTTAGTCTTATCATTCTTCTCTGAATTCTTTCTAGGGATTCTATATCCATTCTGTAATGCA